TGTAAGTACAGTTGTACTTAAATTGAACTGCTCATATACCTTACCATATACGGACCATACCATATACCTTTAACATTTCAAAAAACATAAAAAGCGGCTAATCCAAATGGCAGTCAGTTAAGCGTGAAAAAAGGAGGAAAAACACGAGCATGTACTGTATCAGTCAAAAGTTTGGACACACTTTGCCTTCACTGCTTCTATTAGCCTTAGTTAAAGGCCTCAGATCCTAACCAAACAGAGCTTTCTTTGTGTGCCCATCATAATCCTGGAAACACTTCCAAAAGAAGTGTATTAACAGTTTTACTCTCTCATAAATAAAGGTTAAACATTTCTGGCAATTAAAGACAATTGTACAGAATTTTTAGAAAACCTTTAATTAGTACAATACAGGCTTTCTTGTCTGTAGGCAGCTAACATCCATGTGCTAAAGGAAAGGGTTCCTTAATCAGTTGTTTTAGTTAAGTAGCATAATATGACTTTTTTTTTTCTTTTCCTTTTTTTTACAGCACAAGGTTATCCCAGGCAACCTGGAGGCCAGTGATGAGACTTTGGAGAAGGAAGCAGGAAGTGACATGAACAAAGTGTAAGTCGTCCACTTTTTTTTAAGCACAGGTAATGTGTTTCAGTTCTGCTTGAATATTTCTTGTTAAATGTTTTATATTGTAGGCTGGATATGACACAGGAGCTGTTGGATTACCTGGATGCTGGACTCAAGATGGCTGACACAGGTTAGTCCGTTAGGAGGGTCATTATATCTGTCTGTCTGTCTGATCAGTCGCTCAATACTTTCTGACATTAATTCTATTTATAAAGCACATTTAATAACAACAGAGAGTTGACCAAAGTGCTGTACAAAGTAATAATTAAGCAGTGACATTAACATCAACAACAGCTAAGAAAATTAGGATAAAAAGAATTGGTAACTCTCGTGCAGTATCAAAAGCCAAAGTGGAAAAAATATGTTTTAAGATGGGATTTAAAAGAGTGACAGTTGGGGCCTTTCTAATGTGGAGAGAATAGAATAGAATAGAATTCAACTTTATTGTCATTGCACATGCACAGGTACAGGGCAACGAAATGCAGTTTGCATCCATCCAGAAGTGCTTTCTGGAGAGGTAGATCGTTCCACATTTTCTGCGGCACAACCACAAACGCCGATCCCCTCTATGAACCATCCTAGACTTGTGTAAGATAAGGAGTATATGATCACTTGATCAAAGGGCTCTAGAGGGCGTATAAAGCTGCAAAAGGTCAGACAAATAGTCTGGTGCCTGGCCATTTAGCGCTTTATAAGTCAAAAGTAAGATTTTAAATTTAATTCTAAAACTCGCTGGAAGCCAATGAAGGGAAGCAGGCACTGGAGTAATATGTTGGTGTCTCTTCACAAGAGTCAAAAGGAGGGCTGCAGCATTTTGTACAAGTTGTACTGCAAATGTTGTACATTACTGTAGTGTGTCGTGTTTTCTGCACCACGCCTACTGGAGATTCCTTGAAATAATACGCCGTAGTTTACCTAAAAAATAGATAGTTTGAACCAACACATTAGTGTTCATTCTGTTCTTCAGCAAGTTAAAAACCACTAATCAAATTCCCTAATTTGGCTTTAATGCCAAATAGTATTTCGCCAGGTGGAGGCCAACCAGGCCAAATCTACAACTCCAGCTGGGCAGTGCAGACTGATCCCACTCATACCTCTCATACAGGACTGCAGCTTTCTCTATCACTTCTGTGTGCGATTGTTGTTTAAGCTTCACAGCCGTGAGTGAAAAACAAATATTTATTTATTAAAATAAATCATGAGATAGTCAGCATTATTTAAAAAATGCCTTAAATCAATCATAACCTTTTCGTCACAGGCATTTCTCCAGATGTTCTTCTTGGACACAGAGACCGGTTCCGTGATCTGTTTATGAGGTGAATTATTTATTAGAGAAACTCACTAATCTATTTAACAGGAACAAAGTAAAATACATTTGCTGTTTAAGTGGTAGCTAAAACCTAATTTCCATTACAATGAAAAACATGTAAATAAAAATCTGAAAACGACAAAGAATGACAGTGACCTTAAAAGAAGAGGTCTGACACTGACTGTTATTTTTTTTCTGTAGCCTCACACAGTTCTTTGACAAAGCCAGAGAAATGGAGTTCTTTAAAACTTTCATCCAGATCCCAGATCTCCCAGATGTAAGTGCCACAGATTTCTTTTTTTTAACATTTACGTGCTTTGCTCCTTCTGTTTTTGTGCCTTTTGTGTATGTTAATTGTATCATTGCCCCTCAGGCTCCTCCAAACTTCCTCCGAGCCGCTGCCTTGGCTGAGTACAAAAAACCAGTAGTAGTGACGCCAAATGAGGAGCATCATGAGGAGGAGGAGGATGTGGAGCCACAACCAGAGTTTAGAGAAGCTTCTCAAATGCCACAGGTATGGTACATAGTTGTCAGAAGATATGGTACTTTGAAATTCCACCAGCTTTGTGTGGTGTCAGTGCTGATATGTAGCTTTTTATCAAACCAGTACTATCTGCTCAACCAAATGAGAACCCCTGATTCTTCAGTGGAGCAGAGAGAAATGGAAAATGACAGTCTGAAGAGAGAGCTAGATGTTCTGAAACCAGAATTACAGATCTTCAAGAATGAGGTAAATGGGATAAGATGACAGTGTTGGAGTGGCTGGTCACGTAAATCTGAAAACCCTTCCTCTATGCAGTCAGCCATGGTCCTTCTATATGATGGCTAAGAGGATGCTAACTGTAGCATCCTCTGCTTTGTGATTGGTGATATTGATACATTGTGATCATTGTGCATTCATTAGGACTTGTATATTGAAAGTCATATTGAAACATTACCAAGTTTATGTTCAAATGTCTCATTTACAGCTTGTAATTGTAAAATGTGTTTGTTTCTGTGTTGTTCACAAATTAACCAAAACAGCAAGACAAGAAGTCCTTGTCAATAATTGTAAGTTTCTTCTTCCTTCCCCAGGCTCAGAGGTGTGTAACAGAGTTAAAGAGTCAAGTGAACCGACTGCAGGCTGAGGTCGAGGAGCAGCGCACCCACAAGCAGATGGCAATGGTTGAAAACGAACACCTGCGCATGGAAGTGGAGGCTTTACGAAGCGCTAATGTGGCTAACATCGGGGCACAGATTGGATTCAAGGAGGCAGATGGTGAGAGTTCAGATGTGAGCATGCAGCTGAATTAGCAATACAAAAAGAGCTAAAACTGAGTAAAAAGGTGCATCTTCTTCCTAACTACACAGGCAGAGCTCAAGCAGCAGAGCTTCGTTTCACTCAACTTAAAGAGAGACATGCAGAGCTGGTTAGCAGCCATGCTGACCTAATGAAGAAGGTAAATTGCAGTTTCTTTTATGTTTATATTTAACTTCCTTAGCTGTCGCCTTTTAAAAATTGAAATTAGAACGTTGAACCACATTGTTCAACTCAATTAATGATAGAGATAATTGGAGATGGTGATAGTTGAATTTTGTTACCTTCTTACAGACCCCATCCTGCTGTTTTCCTGTGTTTCTCATTTTTGTAGCAAGCTGAGGTACCTTTACCTTCTTAGTTATTATGGAATGTATTTTAATCATGTGCAGAATACAGAAACGGTGAAGATTATGTCAAGCACCAAACAAGAGCACGATGATTTGCAGAGGGCTAAATATCAGCTAGAAACTGAGCTGGAAAATCTACGACGGGAGAAAAGCAATGTGGTAAGACCTGCATCAGACATAGTTTTGTGTTGATGAACAAAAGCTGTTGTCACTATTGATCTTTTCTTTCTTTCTTTTTCTTTTTTCGTCCTGATCAGATGAATCAGCAGCAGATGGAGGTGGACCGCCTGAACCAAGAACTGCTGGAGCAAAGAGCAGAGCTTGCCACCTTGCGCAGTACTCTGGAGAGTAAAGAGAAGGTAAGACTATAATATGACCACAGATTTCATGGCAGAACACATCTATTTTTAGACTTTTGGGAAAACCCTTGTTGTTCTTTCAGCTGCTCCTTTCAGGGGTTGCCAGAGCTGGCCATCTGCCTCCATCTCAACCTGTTCCAAGCATCCTTCTCTGACACACCAACCCTCTGCATGTCCTCCTTCACTACATCCACGAATCCTTTGCAGTGGTCCTTCCTCTTTTCCTCCTGCCTGGCAGCTCTAAAGTTAACAACCTTTCTCCAATATAGCTTCTAGCCCTCCTTTGCATATATCCAAACCATCTCAGCCTTGCCTCCCTAACTTTGTCTTCATAATGGTCGAACTCAATGTACTAATTTCTCTGATATAGTAATTCTAATCCTGTCCATCCTCTTTACCCCTAATGAAAAACGTAACATCTTTAACTTTTCTACCTCTAGCTTGTCCTCCGGACTTTTGCTATCCTTCTGTCACTAATTGTCCCTGACATTTGTCTCCACCCTGCCTGCAGTCTCTTCTTCCCTCTCTTGTGCTTGTCTGTTTATGTGAATTGTTGACCCCAGTTATAAAAAATTCATCTACCATCACTATTGCTCATTGCAGCTTCACCTTTACTCCTGCTTGACCTCATCTGTTAACCTGTCCATCACCATTGCAAACAATAAGGGGCTCAGAGCCAATCCCTCATGTAGTCTTGCCTCCATCTTGAACCCATCTTTAACATCTACCACACACCTAACTACTATCTGTCGTCGCATATATCCCATCCTCACATACTTCTCAGACTCATCCTATAGTACCTGGGATAGGCTCTAGAGTGTTGAAAGCATCTTGGTGCCTGATAACCAATGCCAAAAACACATTGGGCATTGAGTTCTCATATGAGTATGAGTTCTCAAGATGTCTTTGTGTTTCTTTAGGAGGGATCTCAGGTGAGCAGCAGTTTGACAGCTCTGCAGGCTGAGCGGGAAGTGCTGCTACGCTCTGCAAGAGAAAAAGATGCAGAGCTTACCACTCTGAGACAACAGGCACAACTGCAGCAGAGCTCCCTGGACTTGGAGAGAGACAGGACCAACCGAGAGCTGGAGGATCTGAGAGCTCAGCTACAGCAGCAGGTCTGAAACACGCATCACTAAAAGGTCCAGAGTGAAATACAACATGGTCTTTCACAGGGCTAATGATATTAATATATCAATAATGTATTAGCTCAGGAATAGACTGCCAACCTATCCAGGGTTTATCCCTCCTCTTGCCCTGTGACAGCTAGGTTAGGTACCCAACCACAACACTGAATTGAATAAGTAGCAGAGGATGAATGGAAAGATTTCGTCTTCAGGCATTGCAAAAAATGTCCACACTTTGGTATTTTGATATCTGTAACGCTTTGCTTATGTGTTTTCTCTGTAATATTGTAGGGTCTTTACATTACAGTTCAAAGCACTATGCAACTTTTATTGTGATTTGGTGCTATATAAATACAATAAAATTGAATTGGCTCAGTAGCTTCGTTTAAGACATGTTCAAATATCAATTCAGTTTTAACCTCTTTATGTTAAACTACATTATAAAATCATACTTACTCCTTAGAGCTATAAATATCCAGGTATCAAGCCATGTTAGTGATCTTTAAATGAACTTTCCAAACTGGTTGAGTGCTCCATTAACTTGGCATGACAGTCCTGTAACACTGTCAGACTTTTAAAGCTAAGATTAAAAGCCTCAGAACCAGATTTCTATTCCACATATTGTCTCCCTCCTATAGCCTCTGTACAACATCTGTAACACTGCGTGTAAAAGGACTGCCTGACCTTTGTCATGATATTGGTTGTTCAGCCTTGAACCACTTAGGCCCATCTTTCTTTTTACTTCCTTATCAAACACAGCTCTGTCTTGTGTTTACTTTTACTTTATTTGCCTCATTGATGATTGTGTTTTTCTTTGCTGTACTGGAAGCATTTATAATTGCCACAAAAGTGCCCCTAAACTTGTTGTATAATATAATTCTGTCTGCTTTTGTGTGTCTTCTGTGTTTCCTGTAGCTTGCCATAAATGCAGCACAGAAGTTGGAAATTGACAGGCTCAAGCGAGATTTGGAATCCACACGAGCAGAACTGACACAAGCAAACAACATCCTGCAAAGCAAAGAAATGGTCAGAACATTTAGATCAAAACTGCTGTAAACGTATTTTCTAGCATCTACAAGCCTTGAAGATTATAAGATAAGACTTATTTGTAAAGGAAAAACGTTTTTAAAATCTGTTTCTCAGAGTGGTACCCAGCTAAACAACACACTGGCAGGGCTGCAGGTGGAAAAGGAGGGGTTGCTGCGTATGATGCGGGAACAGGAGGCTGAGCTGAAAACCCTCAGACAACAAACTCATCTTCAACAGTCCTCTCTAGAGCAGGAGAGGCAGAGGAGCAGCATGGAACTGGGAGGCTTACATGCCCAGTTACAGCAACAGGTCCAGTTTTCTGTTTGTCACTCTATTTTAAGACTTTATAACTGACTAATTATTAACTTCGTGTGTATGTGTGTGTGATAAATCAGGCTTCTCGTGAAAGTCAGCTAGCCCAGAAGCTGCAGGAGGAGCAGTTTTGTCTGCTACAGTGTGCAGTGGTGGAAGCTGAGGGCATCATACTGGACGCTGTGGCCAAACTGGATGACCCTATACATGTCCGCTGCATCAGCTCTCCTGGTAAAATCACTATTATTTTCCCTCCTCAAAGAAAATCCCTTTAAAAAGAGTTTTTAAAAAAAATTTTAAGGACGGAAGCTTTTTATTTATTTGCATTCAGTTGCCCATGTGTTTGAAAAGTGTGCAGTACATTATATAACCAAAGAAAAGCCATAGAATAGGCATTTTAATACAAAAACAAAACAAACTGAATAAAATCAGCAAACCTCTATTCTAAGACATTAATAAATATTGACATTGGTTCATCTGTTTGAGGAAACACACGAAGAAAGTAAACACATGGCTGATGCCTTTTAAATTTCAGAGATGACTGAAGTTCTTCATATAACTCATAGCATTCAATAGCAACAGCAATCTTCAACACAGATTTTAATGGAGGCAAAAGCAGATGTGCACATTATGATATGGAAAGACATGGCAAAAAAAACCCTCCACTGAAAATAAAGATTCAGTCTACACACACATTTAAGGATTCATCATGATGGAAAACTATAAGTTGTTACTTCAGCACTGCTACACAAAACTTTATACAATAAATTAACATGGTAACCAAAAATCTTTAATCCTCAGACCTTGCCATTTTGCTTTTCCATACAGTTTGTTTTTGATCAGTTCTTTGTGTTTGACAGATTATTTGGTGAACCGAGCGGAAATCACCTTGAATTCTATTGACAAAATGCAGCAGAGCCACTTGGCCTATCTGGGAAACAGTAATGGTACGTTGGGAATTGTGGGTTTGTTCAGTTCAAGTCAGGTACATCAACTGATTAGTTTGTTTAATCCTTCCCTGTTCTGTCTAGATGCCAGTGGTTTGCTAAGAGCAGTCACACAGTTTTCCCACCTTGCTGCTGACACAATTGTTAACGGATCGGCAACATCTCACTCAGCCCCTGTCGACCAGGCGAACTGTAAGAAACGTACATAGTTGTTGTAACTGTCGTAACACTTGCTAAATATTTTCTACACAGAAAGTTGAATGCTGTGTGTTGGACTCATACAGATCTGACTGACAGCTGTCGGGACTGTGCCAATCACTGCCTTCACTTCTTGAAGGATTTGAAGATTCAGGCGAGTTTACAGCGAGCAGACCCGTCTGCAATACGCTATACTGTTCAACGCATCCTCGCTGTAGGACAGGTGGGACTGAATTTATATTTAACCAATTAACAAGACAGTATTGTGTGTATGTATGAGTGTGAGAGAGAGAAATTGTCAAGTGTGCATGTGTAAAATTGAAAATGAGGGTGGGCGAGCAGTGAACTGCTCCCTCCATGACCATGTTTCCATGTTATTGAGATAATGGCAAGAAAAGTGCCAACTTTTTTGCAGGTTTCCAAAGATCCTGAACTTGACCTCTCAATACTCGCTACTGAGACTCATGTTTGCTGTAACTGTGTGACTCTTGTTTAGGATTTGCGTCCGAAAGGGCATGATGTGCTAAAAGAAGAACTAGGAAGCATGGTGGACAAAGAGATGCTCGCCACATCTTCCGCCATTGAAGAGGCTGTCTTGCGAATGGATGTAAGAACAAACATCAGATAATTTATAAAATATATATATATAAGATCTTTTTGATATATCAAAAATAAGCATTCTCTACTATGACCTGTCTACGCAAAGCTACTGTTCTCTGAATTATATTTCTATCATTTATCTCACATAGACATCTGTTCTTTCTTTTTTTTTTTTTCATAGGAAATACTGAGTCAGGCAAAGAAAGACAATACTGGTGTCAAACTGGAGGTCAATCAGAAGTAAGAAAAATCCTAAAGAATCATCATAAAATTATTTATTTCTGTGGTGGTTATTTTCCTCCTCTCTTACTTACAATCTGTGTGTTTGCTTCATCACAGTATCCTGGGATCCTGCTCAGACCTGATGAAGGTAAGAAAGTGGGCAATATTCAAATAATTTTGAACTTTAGTTAACTCTTGTTTCCTGTATTTACTGTGGTGCCCTCTCTTCTCTCCAGGCTGTTCACATGCTGGTGACTGCTGCTACTGACCTACAGAAAGACATTGTGGAAGGAGGAAGGGTAAGTTGATGTCACCCTAAAGATAAAATTCCAGGACAAGTTCAGACATTCTGTCTTTTTATTCATCAAACACGATGCAGAATGGAAAAAATGTGGGAAAAATCATGATTATCCTTTATTATTATTACCTTATTCTTCTTCACATTAACATGTAAAAGTGGCCTTTTTAGAGCTAAAAGCTCTCGAGCAAAATTGTGTGTGAGTGGGGCTTACAGACGTGTGTGTGTGTGTCAGTCCAGTCTCTGAGTGTTCAACAGTCTGATGGCTTGGGGGAAGAAACTGTTTCGCAGTCTGGCAGTGAGGCCCTGAATGTTCTGGTAACACTTGCCAAAAGGCAGCAGAGTGTGTGTGTGAGGGGTCCGTGGGGTCTTCCACAATGCTGAGTGGGTGCGAATAGTGTCTGTGATGGAGGAAAGAGAGGCTCCAATTATCTTCTCCATTGTGATACCATTTGAACAACTAACAGTCTTACCTATAAATTTCAATATATCCAGTGTTTTAGCATTTTGCTAAATTTTGGCAATGAGCAAGAAGCAGAATCTGCAGTTGGTGTTTTATTGAGTGACCCATTTGTTCCATTTGTGCTGTCAGGGTGCAGCAACTGTTACTGAATTCTATGCCAAAAACTCTCGCTGGACCGAAGGACTCATCTCTGCTTCCAAAGCTGTGGGCTGGGGGGCCACACAGCTGCTGTAAGTTCAGAAATTTATCAAAACCCACTTACTGATTGATATTCTGAACAATACAATTTGTAAATAATAAATAAAACTGTAAATGGATGGTTTACTTTCATGTTTAGGGACTCAGCTGACCGGGTTGTGGGTGAAAAAGGCACATATGAGGAGCTCATCGCCTGTTCACATGAGATTGCTGCAAGCACTGCTCAGCTAGTTGCTGCTTCCAAGGTACAAACTTATGTCAAACATATTCGTGTTGGTTTGTTAGGTATCAACATACAAAGTCATGTTCAGGCTCTCGAATCTTGAAGAAATGTGGAATTAAAAAAAAAAAAAAAAGTACCATCACTCCTCTGTTAAATTAACAATACTGTGAAAACACATTTGCCCTCTGCCTGATTTCTTGTGTTTTTGCATATTTTCCCAATTACATGTTTCAGTTTATCAAACAAATGTTAATATTGGGTAAAGATAAACCAAGTAAATACAAAATCCAGTTTTAAATAATGATTTTATTTATTAAGGGGGAAAAAACTACCAAAATCTAGCTTGAAAAAGTCATTTAAGCCTAATGTGTGTGAAGGTCATCTAGGAGGAGCATATGCTGCAGAACTTATAAGGCTGGTGTCAGATGCATTCCCTAACACTGGTGAGCCAGCAATGTAACTCCTTGTTGCTGGTTTCTATCTACTGCTTCAAGCTCTGGAAGTTGCATGTAAGTGGGAATGTGCACAGGAAGCTTTAACACTTAATCCCTCACCTGCAACCACATCTTATGCTTGTACTCCTACCACAGAAATTAAACCTTCTCAGCTATGGTGTCTATCAAACATGACCAGTCTCACTCATATTCATCTGTTGGACCAATTTATGCTATAAAGCATCTAGTCACATAAACCCAAGTTCACTGCAGCAATTGGTGGAGTCCCTGATTTTAAGCCCTATGGGAGTGTCCCCAAGAGGGTCAGGGACCCCCTGTTGATCCTCTACCTAATCACATGAGCCAATGAGTGAAAATGGGTGTGGGTCGCAATCAGCCAAGGTTTTAGGTGAATTGGAGCGATCATGGCTCAAGAGTTGGCAGTTGGTCTTTTAATCGGAAGGTTGTCGGTTCGAGCCCCGGGTCGGACAGTCTCGGTCGTTGTGTCCTTGGGCAAGACACTTCACCTACCGCCTACTGGTGATGGCCAGAGGGGCCGATGGCGCGATATGGCAGCCTCGCTTCTGTCAGTCTGCCCCAGAGCAGCTGTGGCTAGATCTGTAGCTTGCCTCCAGCAGTGTGTGAATGTGAGAGTGAATGAATAGTGGAATTGTAAAGTGCTTTGAGGGTCTCGAAAAGCGCTATATAAATGCAATCCATTATTAATCCACTGTGAAACCTAGTCCCAACCAACTATTGATTTACTGAGATGAAATGGATCAAAGGAGCTGGTTCCACAGAAGAGGGGCCTGAAAGCTGAAGGATTTACCTCCCCTTCTACTTTTAAATATCCAAGGAACCACAGGAATACCAGCAGTCTGAGAGTGAAGCTCTCAATCTGGATTTAACAGGGAGCCAATGAAGAGAAGCCAAAATGGCAGAAATGTTTCCTCTTTCTAGTCCCTGTCACTTTTCTCTTTTCTGGGTCAACTGAAGGCTTTTCTGGGAGTTTTTAGAACAACCTGATAATAATGAATTACAGTAGTCCAACCTGGAAGTAATAAATGCATGAACTCCTTCTACATATTTGTTTAATATGCATTTTGAAGGATATATCCAGGTCAAAAATGACTCCAAGAACAATCTAGATAGACACCATGTTTCTAAGATGTTTTATAGAGCAGAGTACAGTTACTTCAGTTATATATGAATTAGCCTCTTCAATATTAGAAAAACTTCTCAGTATTTTCAACTTGAATTGTTGCATACATGTCATGTCAAAGTAGGTGAGGTAAACATGGTCGTGGATAAAATGAATTTATTGATACTGATATAATAACATATTTGTGGACTATAAGTTACTAGCTGTTACTATCAAACTTAATATAATTAATTAAGGATTTTTTCTTTTGTCTGAATTTTGGCGCCACCTGCATCACAGTTAAAGTACTGATAACCTATATTTGGTCTATACCTGGACAAGAGTGAGGCTATCCAGTTTTTGTTTTTCGTTTTTTTAACAAACAACAAAAGTGAGCTGGATCATATGATCCACTGAAGGAGAAACATGGATTATCAGAATTTAAATACAACAGAGTTCCTTTGGCATGATTGTAAACATGATGTTCACGCACAAAAACTCTCCAGTGTGGCTAAAACAAGAGGAGTGGGCTAAAATGCCTCCACGGAAATGTGGTTTAAACTACCAGGTGAACAAACACTTGACAACAAACAAACACTTCACTATATTTATCAAAGGGCAAAACGAATTGGACATGTATCAGCAATAAACTGTTGTCAGTGCAAGTTAAAGCAGCTGATAGTGGCATACATATATGCCAAATGGGCTCCAAATGCCAATCGACAACAGTGTCATTAAGCACAATGTTAGAAACATAAAACATAAAGGTGATAAAAGAATGTGTGCAATGCTCTACATTCAAGGGAAAGAACATCATACCAAGCATGAAAATAAAGGAAAAAAGTATCCACAGCATTCCTTGGTGTTCCACCCTTCATTCATTCATATCTCTCTGGTTTTAGCAAATTTCTTAACAAAAGAGATCTATTAAAGGCTATTTTAAGGTACTAGGTTAAATATGCCAATGTTTAGTAACAGTTCTTTTTACACCTTCAGATGAATGTTCGGGGGTCAATAGGTCACTCTTCACTACATCTTTAACTCTGTCCAAACCATCCTCAAGTACCTTATAGCTACAGGTTTTCTCTGAAATTATTATACACACAGATGCGTTACTCAAAATTGTCATTACTGAATGTTCTTCTCAATCTTTATAGCTGAATGAACAGAAAGCTGTTTTTGCATTATGGTGAAGCTACTAAAATGTACAATTGCCTTTCTATTTGTTTTCTATAAATACAAATATGAAGTGATGTTTGATGTTTTGTTTTTTCTTTTTCTTTTCTTTTTTCAAGCAAGTACACCATGGAATGAAACAGATTCACTATTGTCCCGTGAAAATTGCACAGTTGCGCATTGATGATTGTTGCTTTGCTACATTTTGGAAGGAATTTAATTCTTCTTAGCCTTTTTGCTTTTATGTGACAGTGGAAGTTGCCGGTTACTTTCCAAATTTGATTTCTCAATGAAACCAAAAGATATGTTTTTTTATGAAGTGAAGTTTCCCTTTTAAGCCTTTCAGGTTTAAAGGGAAACTTCACTTCAGTGACTGAGTCTCAAAGAGGTAGAAATAGCCATTATTACATTAAAACCTAGAACAAAGACAAAACATGCATACAGCTCTGTGACTTTATGTAACTACTTAGAACCACCTGGTCACCCAGTTACATCCTTTGAAATGTGCCTGCTCTGTGCCCATACATGCACCACATAGTGAAAAACTGTCCTTATGGAAAACAAACTTACTGCTACTCATTCCAGGTAAAAGCTGACCGCAACAACAAGAAGCTGAATACGCTGCAGCAGGCCTCAAGGCATGTAAATGACATGGCTGCTGTGGTCGTCACCTCCACCAAACATGGGCAGCAGCAGATCTCTGACCACGGTGAGAGGAGAAGCTCATATTGCAAGAAAATAGCTGATGCTTCACATTTTTAGTAACCCTTTATAATAACAGCATAGTTTTGGCTAAAAATGGCAGCATACATGTAAGCAAACAATAAATCTATACAACTTGGTGAGTGTAAGTTTAACACTTACTTTAGCCCCTTTTTTGGCCTCTTATTTCTGACACTTTCTGCTGCTTAATACTTAACTGTGTTAAACAGCGAGCCAACCTGTCTACCACTGAGCATAGCATAGCTGAGTTAGCCTACAGCTTTAAGGCTTGTGAGGGTTTTTTGTTCATCTATCTCATTAGTCAGTTTGATCAGCAGCAGTTTAGCATAAAATCAACCAGACTAATCAAAATGTTTAAATGCTTAAAGTAACCATGAAATTGGCTGATTATTCTATGATGCAGCTTTGACACTCCAGCTGATATTGTTGCCTTTACAGGCTTGATGGACTTCTCCGGCATGTCTCTGATCAAGCTTAAAAAAGAAGAAATGGAAGCTCAGGTCAGACTAACATGTCTCTGAATGGATTGTTTAATTGTTTGTCCTTATGTGCAACTTGCTTGTTGTTCTGGATCATGTATAAGACAAGTTAAGCCACCTTTTAAAGAAACAGTATTGTGACTATGTGAAATCAATGTAGTTAAAAACATGCAATGACAGTTTTGGATCTTAGACTAGGTCATTGGGTTTTTAGACGTCTGGAAGCCATTGCCAGATCTTGTGCTCTTTGAATCTTTCAGGTTAAGGTGCTGCAGCTGGAGAGCCAGCTGGAACAGGAGCGAGTACGCTTGGGGGAACTGAGGAAGAGGCATTACGAGCTTGGTGTGTCAGGGGATGAAGGGGATGGAGTTGATAGCTTCCCACCACCGCCACCACCTGCTCTGCTTGACTCCACTGCAGTGCCCCAGTCCTTTGCACAGACACAACCTTATTCAAACACCCCAGGTTTTTCACAATCAAATCCCTTTGCATCGAATCAAACACAGTCCTCCTCTCTGCCACAGTCTTACACGCCTTCTCAGACCTACACGCCTTCTCAGACCTACACGCCTTCTCAGACCTACACGCCTTCTCAGACCTACACGCCTT